GTTCTCTGCTCTTGGCATTAGATACATATCCCTAGTGTTTGTGGTAGTCACGTAGCTTTGTATATAAATCAGTACTCTTGGTTTATACTGAAAGTTTTTGTGTAGATTTTGCAAGGAACACAGTTTTAGAGCAGTGGTTTTGACTGAGTCGCAATCTCAAGCTTCTTATTGGGCAACGCAATTTCAGAATTTATCATTACTTTTTAATACAAGAACGATTGGTCCTTGAAGAATGTTAAAAAGGCAGCCAAAATCCTGCATTTTGATTATTAAAAGAAAAAGACAATTCTGTTTGAAAATCCTCGAGAAGAAATTCCACAAGTGCTTACTCCAGTTACTATAATAACATAAATCCCTCACCATTAAGAAGTTCTTCTTTGTATCTTACCTAAATACAGAGCTCTTTGTTGTAGTTTAGAGTCATCTGTGAAAATCAAGGTCAGTTGGTCATAATGTCAGCTTCACATTAATTAATGAGTCCCTGCTTAATATAAAGTCATTCTGAAGAGCTTCAAGCTGCTTTGTTAAGGGGATGGATTTCAAACCTGCTTGGTGTCTTTATTGTCAGATTTCCATGAAAATTAAAAAAAAAAAAGCCGTTTCAAAGTTGTTATCCTTCTTTACTGGCCCACTCAGAATAAAGGTGGCATTTCAGCCTACGTGCCTTCATCCTTTCAGAAGCAGCTTTTCTTAGATTGTGATCAGTAGTCTCTCTAGGCCTGAGTGTCATCAGAAAGCTTAAACAATTGACAACCAAGGGGAGGGAAGAAGGAGAAAGGAAGGGGAGAGGAAAAGAAGCCAGCTGTCAGTGGGAGAAAGAAGAGGGGCAGATCGAGGACAGATGGAGAAGGAAATGGGGAGCACAAGAAGTAGACTGAGGCTGACAGCACGAGAGGAAAACCAGCAGTGAGGACGGATGCTGGTCGGTCCATGCCTCCTGGATGGAATAGCAAGCCAAGGGAAGAGTGCGAAGTGATTGGCTTTGGGATCTGCTTGGGTCTCTTGGAGCTGCCTGGGTTCCCTCACTCAGATTGGGGCCCATCAAACACTGTGGCAATCCACATTTGAAGCAGTGTGTCAGTCATTATTTATTGTTAAGGACTCTGGCAGAAAACTGAGAGGGATTTCAAAGCAGCATAAAACCAAAGAACCTAGTTCTTAGACTCCTTAGTTGAGCAAGTTCACAGAAACCTATAAAGGGATACACGTTGTCTGTTTCATGAAGTGCCTCTCAGACTTTTCTACCCGAGTATTTCTGACTGCAGTGGTGATATGAAATGGGTGCCCCGGGGGATGAGTGAAATCTGGTCCTGAAGTTTCTCTGCAGTCTTTTTATCTTGTAAATCCATGCAAATTTTACACTGTGGTCCATGATAGATCTGCTTCCCTTAATAGTAAAACAATATCCCACCCCCTCCCACATGTATGAAAACCTTTGATTCTCAGGAAGATGTACCATGCTTATCTGGTAGCTTCAGGGACCACCCACCACCACCTTGCCCCCAGTAGTGGTACGATTCACCCAGTGCATATCCCAGCAGTGATACAGGAAACAGGCATAGCATGGTAGCTTTCGATGGGCTAGGCTACGCTGGCGATGGCACTTTGGACCTCTCACTGAATAAAAAGGTGCCTTTATTAATAATGTTAGCCATTGATTATATTAAATAGAATTATCTCAGCAGCCCTCTGCTCAATTCTAGTGGGAACCCTTTATGAGCAGAGGCTTGGGGTGTGGCTCTCTTTAGAGCTCCTTAGGGCTTGTTGTTAGACCCTATAAAACTATTTCATTACTTTTCACAGTTTTCTTTGAGCTAATTGGGTCAGATCTGCCTCTTCCCTGGACACACAAATGCAATATTCTTGCTCCTCCAAAGTCATCCTAAGAACTTACTTAAGTTCTCCATAAGTTTGTTTGGAAATTTAAAATAATTTGCGTAAAATGTTGAACAGTCCTTACATATGGTAAGCAGTCAGTAAACGTTAGCTGCTGCTTTATTGTTGCAACTGTCATTACTGTGATATGTGCCTCCTGTGAGCAAGGCAGCGTTCATACGTGGAAAGTGAGACTTGACGCCTCGTCAGCCATTTTGGGTCTTGAGCTGTGAACAGATACTGGCTTTGTAAGACTAAGGAATACGTACTTCCTACTATATGATTAAAGAACATAGAATACTAAATCCTTGAGCAAAATGATACTAAAATAATGAAAGGATTAACTATGCTAAACTTGATTTTAGTTTCACATGATTTAGCATCTAGCAAGTAAGTTATGTGGAAGAATAGTGCACAGCATAGTGCCTAGCTCGTGCTGCTTATGTATGTTGGGTGAATGAATATGAGCGGTTGAGACCTTACTATGGAGGCCTGAATATATACATGCCTGAATAAGCAAGGCATCTAAACATTATTTAATGGTCAGTGAGAAGCCATTTCAGAATTTTGGACAGGGAAATGATGTAATCCATTGTTTGCTTTAGACTGAAAGGAAATGTACAAAATGTTATACTTGATGACTAGACTATGGTTTTTTGTTTTTGTTTTTGTTTTTTTACTTTTCTAAAGTTTCTAAGGACTTACACCCTTCCTCAAGTTTCTAGAGCACACTTCTGAAGGTGACAGCGGCTCTGTATGGGGAGGTTGGGAAGGGAGTGGAGCAGTGAATTTGAATCTGGGAAGGGCAGCATAAGTACTTTGAATGAGATCTCCCAAGGAGCTGTCCTTTAAGAGGATCACTATTTTAGGAAATCCTTGAGTATCAAAATCATAGAGTTTAGAGCTAAATTTAACTGAGAGGCCCTCAGATCTAACCTTCTTCCAACCCTCTGTTCTAGATAAGATCAAGTGAATTCCTCAGGGCCCTTAACCCGGGATTCCTGATTTCTAGTCCAGTGCTCTCTGGTGTATAATACATTTCTGCTGTGGGTAAAGGACGTAGGCGGACTCTTAGAGAGGACTGGCCTGCATAGCTTCATCTTCCTGCCCCAACACATGCGAATGTTTTCATGTCATCTGTTTAAAATGCACCACTTAGCTAGCTATTCATGTAGGTTCATAAGTATAAGGGTGAAAATAAACATCTCTCCACTGGAGAGGCAAATCACTAAAATATTTTGTCATATTTTCTCACCAATCTTTTTTAAAAATACATCTAAAATTAGAATTCCATTGTTTTGTAGCTTGTTTTTTAAATTTAATATACCCATTTACTTATATACTTAAACTTTCCGTGAATACATCATCTAAAATGCTTATGTAATAGTATTCCATCATATTGATGTATGTATGTATACATACAAATATATATACAATGTATATATAATTAAATCTCTATTGTTAGATAAGTAGTTCTCAGTTTTTCAAACAAGCTGCTACTTCCTAGGTACATGTGCCTTCAGGAGGAGTAGGAGACTTTTGGTCATTCACACAGTATTTTAAGTAGTTAAATATCTATGTTTTCTTTGTACCGCCTGGCTGAGAGCAGCAAGTTCAAGGACAGAGGTTGTGATTTGGCACGGAGCATGCCATGAGAGGAAAGCCTGGGCAGGAGTTCGTGTGAAGGGGTGTACTTCTCCACACACCACTTGAATTCCACTTGGTGCTGGGATATGGAAGAAGATGCTGAATAGGAAGAATTTCATATTTTCATTGGAATGTCTCTGTTATCTTTTATTTTTAATGTTTATTTTTGAGAGAGAGAAAGACAAAGTGTGAGCTGGGGAGGGGCAGAGAGAGACAGAGAGGGACATAGAATCTAAAACAGGCTCCAGGCTCTGAGCTGTCAGCACAAGAGCCTGACGCGGGGCTAGAACTCACAAACTGTGAAATCATGACCTGAGCCAAAGTCGGATGCTCAACCAGCTGAGCCACCCAGGTGCCCCTGTTTTCTTTTTCTGGTCCACCTGACCTTTGCTCCAAGACTTAAAGCTAAAGCTATTTTATGAGTTTTGTGCTTCTTCCACCCAGTAGATTTACTAATAAGTATTTGGTTAAAAGGCTGGGCACGTGAGCATCACTTCAGTTATTTCCAAGTTCCAATCTAACTACTTAAAAACTTTTGAACAGCATTTTTATGAGTTGTGGGTTACCCTGCACACGAATAATAAACATGTTTTGTCGGCCAAATGGAAGTGAAAGGGCAGACATTGACAAGCTTGGTGTCTAGTTGAATGTCTTCAAGAAAGGACAGGAAGGCATCACACATGACTTAAGGGCTACAAGCCACAGAACTGGTGGAGTGAGGAACATTGCTGAGTTGTGGGGAAAGCTGCAAGATGACACCTGTTACATTTCAGGAACTCCGGGACAACACAGAGAAAACTCTTGATTTGTAGATATCCTGAACACCCCCTTCCCTTACTTAGCCAGTAGTTTTAGGGCTTGATGCCTTAACCTATCTGTGTGTACTTCTAAATACCAACATGGGTAAATTTGCATTTCACATGCTCCTTCTTCAGTTGCAAACAATTGATTATATAGGAGAGGGATGGTACTATAAATCAGAGTTTAGTTCTGCTTCTGATTTACTATATGACATTGGACAAGGCATTTCACCTCTCTGGTTTCTAATCTATAATTAAAAGGATAATTACTGGTTTAAATAATTTTTGAAGCTCCTTCTGAACCTAGAGTCTTTATTTTTAAAACAAAAAATGACCCCTGAGGTAGAGTTGGCTCTACTTTCTTGAATTTGAAAAATTAAGCAAAATGCTGATCTTGTAGATTCATATAACTTTTAAGTGTAGCTTCTTGAAGGTGTCCCTCTATCAACTACAGAACAAATGTCTCAGTTTAATATATGACTGCATCAAAAAAAAAAAAAAAATGCAACCACAGTAGGTGACCAAAGGGGATAAGTAACTTTCAGGAATTTTGAAAGCCCAGTAGTATTTAGTATATGCTCTCTCAGCATTAAAAAGGTCACCTTGCTAATACATGTTAATTTTGAAACTTGAATTGACCTTTGGAATTTTAATATCAACCTTTTTTGGTGTGTTTAGAGGTTGGAGCAATCACAGAAGAAACGGAAGCCTGTGATTGGTGGAGTTTGGGTGCTGTTCTCTTTGAACTTCTTACTGGCAAGGTGAGCAGTGACCTGGACGTTTAATAAATTTACCCAGATGCTACCTGGATTTCAAATTGAGAACATTTAGCCTTTGCCTTTAGTTGTTAGATCAGGGACGAAATAGGAAGAGCCTTTGATATAAAAAAGAAAAGGCAGAAAAAAAATGCAAGTTTATCAAGATTCCAGATTTTTTGAAAAAGTGGATTGTTATTACATTGATTAAATGATCAGATTCCATGAAGTCATAATGTGAGTGTGCAGATAGGTGACTAAACATTCTTTCTCTTCCTTTTCTACGATTCAGTTTTAACGGCATTAAATCTATAACATTCGTGTAAGGATGTATTAGAATTCTCTGGATGTTTTAAACATCTTGCTGGAAACCAGGAGGGAATTCTGATTTTAGAAAATTAATGTAGATATAAAGGGTAACATTAGCTTTTTTCTCAATACTGTAAATTTTTCCTATGTGTTCTGGCTTAAGGACAGAATTTATGCTCCCTCTGATCAATAACTTTTAAGTAAGATGTTTGAGGTTAATCGACTTTAATAGAGTGTTGTGCACATTGCCTCCTGGGAAGAAAACAGAGGAAATGAGCAGTAGTACTTTTGTAGGTAGTCAGTCCTCAACCTTATATATGTAGATAATATTGAACTCTTAAGATTTAAGTTGTTATCGATTGTTACAAATCACCTACATGTACAATTAAATCATAAAGTGCTGTAAATATAGAAATCGTTATTATTAACCAGTTCTAAACTTAGAACGTTTTTAAGAAGATTAAAACATTCAGAGGTACCAACTCCCTTTTTAGTTTTTTTATGTAATGTTAGTTTTTCTATTATGAGCTGTTCTCTGTAACACTAAGGAAAAGGGCTAGAAGCGTAAGCTTATGATATGACTTTGACGAGTGCCTTCATTTCAGTTAGTTGTTCAGTTAGTTGTTCAAGTCTTGTGGCCCTTGTCCTAAACTGCTTAGGTGACGCTGTGTTGATCACTACACCCCCAATGAAGATGGTTGTTAAGCTTTCTGTACTTTGCTGTCCATAAGTCCTGTGATAGAACAGAAATGATGTTATGTGGGATAAGAAGTGTACCTGATTGATTGTTTCAGACTCTGGTTGAGTGCCATCCAGCAGGAATAAATACTCACACTACTTTGAACATGCCGGAATGTATCTCTGAAGAAGCTCGCTCGCTCATACAACAGGTAATTTAATTGACCTATATTGGCCAAGCATATCAACCATGTAAATTAGCAGACTCCATAGCTCTAAAACCTTAAAGAAATTCGTTTTGGGCAAGAAGGACTCATTACTACTGACAGATTCAGAGCTAATACTGTGCATGGTTAAGCTTCTGCTATTATTTAAGTATTAGTGAGGTCAGAGAGCAGGTAAAGCTTATTGGTATTTCAGTCTTTTTTTTTTCTTTAAATCCAGGCTAATGTTTAGTTAATTCCGTATATTTGTGTAGGTGTGAGATTTAAGTATCATTTTTAGCTTGTCTGGAGCTGCTTTGTTTTTGCTGTTACATTTTGTAACCATCTATGAATGGTTATTTTCTTTCCTTTTTCAATGGCTATTTTCAATCTCTAATTCATATTTAAAAATTTAGGAATAGGCATTTCAGGTTGCTTTGCAGAAAAGTGGTGTTAGAAAATCTTGCCAAGTTCAATTGCTCCTAGCTTCATCCATTGATGGAAGTTGGGCATTGTTGTCAGTTAGTGCAATTTTGGTGGCTTTAAAGAAAGAGACTATTGATCATTAAAGTTCAATATCACAGGTAGGCTTGGAGCTCTAGTGACCTTCTTAAATAGATCCCCCACATTTAAAATGCTCCTCTAGTTTTGAATAGTGAATTTTGGTGTATATACTGAGGATTGTCAGCATTGGGTTAGATATGCACACAGCAGATCAGCAAGAGTTATCAGGCCTATGATCCTTATAGTTTTATGAGAAACATAAAGAGAAAGGTTATTTGAAAAAGTTCAAGAACTAACATTTTTGTTTCATGAAACCTGAATTATTTTTTTTTAATTGGAGAAAACAAAACTTAAGAGAAAAGGGAGGGGAGAATGCATTAAGAAGAGAATGACCTACTAATTTTGTGAAGAGGGATTTGGGTCCCATTCAACAAATACATGCACAAATATAGGCAAGACTTGGTGCTGTAAGCTAGAGAGGTAAGACTGACTAGTAACTGTATCACAGAAGGATTTGCTAAAAGCTGTCAGAGGCTTAAAAAATACTTTGGCAAGTCAAGATAAGGAGGGGTTATAGTTGATGCAGTGATAGTATTAGGAAAGTTTTTATGTAGTGAATGTTATTTTTGTGGAGCCCTCAAATTTTGCCTGACAAGTTGGGATGTTGGGGAAGTAGCTAGGTGGAATGAACAGCTTCAACAAGGAAAGGAGTCCAAAAGATACAAATGACAAAATCAAAAGCTTGGTTTATTTGGAGTGGAGGGATGAATGAAGGAATGAGTAATAGTACTAGATGAGTGTGGAAAGGTAAGTTGGAGTTCTCTTATGAGGTTCTTTTATCACGATCACCAGGGAAGACTGATCCTATTCAATTCAGTAAAAATAAATAATAACAATAATAATAATAAATATTTGGAGTTTGGAGGCAGAAGATAAAAAGATCAGAGTTATGCTCCAGGAAGATTAAATTTTTCCAGGGAATGTAAAACAGAAAGAAACATAACCAGGGTGGAAATAAGAAGATGAGAATACCGGTCAGCACTTGGCAAAAGGATTAAGAGGGAACGCAAAGATACGGAACACATTTCATTCTAATGGAGGAAAAAAGGACAACTGCTCATTTGATTTCATCTTATTCGTTGTGGTACAGCAAGACAAATTGCAAATATTTGGGGGGTAAATAATTTGAGGAAGGCTATCAAATGCTATCTTTTGTTTCTTGCATTAAAGTCATTATTATATAATACTGAGAATAGAATTCCCTACATTACTTTATAAAGACCTGCTGCTCCTGTCTTTATTAGTAATTATGTTATGAAGGAATCTTGGCCTAAAGTATGTTAAGTGCTCTGAGACAGGGGTGTCTATATACATAGTAAATCAGCATTCTGTCATTGGCCTGCCTAAGGAAGCTACCATTCATGTTGAGGAAACATCATCAGGAAAGGGAAAAGGGGTCTCTTGACATGATTAGCAGTTTGTCATTTTGACTTTCCTCTTCCACTACCTCACAGGTCACAGGGGTCACTTTTTAAAAAAATAAATCACAAAATGATTTATATGGAAATAGTTATTCTGCTTTGGGGAGCTTTTCCCCTCTTTGGACTTCTAGCTCCTTGCTTGCTTTCTAGATTTCATAATCCCCTGTACCTGTGGTTCAGTCATCTCAGTCACAGAGATGGTGCTACAGTGGACATAGTTACATTTTAAATGCAGTTAAAGAGAAGATGCTTACATTTCACAGATTCACAGAGCATGCGCGTTTGTACTTCACAGTACATTTAATTATGACATGATTGTTTTGTCAGTTGAAAAATGTTATATGAGAAATAGTCCTTCAAAACAAATTTTTGTGTCTTCATTGCTTAGCTTTATTACCTGAACGTTCTTCGGGAGGAAGGAGTCTGTCAGTGACTCTTGGTTTTGCCACTGGCTTACACGTTTGCTTAAGCAATAGAATCTTTGTGTGGTCTCTCCTGAGGCTGATACAGTATTTAAAATGGCAGGATAGGGGTACCTTGGGTGGCTCAGCTGGCTCAGTTGGTTACGTGGCTGACTCTTGATTTTGGCTCAGGTCATGATCTTGCAGTTCCCTAGTTTGAGCCTTGCATCGGGCTGTGCACTGACAGTGTGAAACCTACTTAGGATTCTCTTTCCCTCTCTCCGCCCTTCTCCCACCTTCACGTGTGCGTGCTCTCACTCTCTCTCTCTCACCCTCCCTCACTTTCCCTCCTTCCCAAAATAAGTAAATAAACTTTAAGAAATAAATAAATAAAAGGGCAGGATAAACAAGACAGTCATGGGTTAAACAATTCTATTTTCGCCTAGAGATTTGTATTTGCAGATTTGTAGGAAAACCATGAACTAATTAAATTGACTTTAGTGAGGGGCGCCTGGGTGGCTTAGTCGGTTAAGCGTCCGACTTTTGCTCAGGTCATGATCTCGCGGTTCGTGGGTTCGAGCCCCGTGTCGGGCTCTGTGCTGACTGCCAGCTCAGAGCCTGGAGCCTATTTTGGAGTCTATATCTCCCTCTCTCTCTGACCCTCCCCTGCTCACGCTGTCTCTCTCTCTCTCTCCTAGAAATAAATAAAAAAAAATATTAAAAAAAATTAAATTGACTTTAGTGAAAGTCAGAATAGGAAACTTTATTGGAATTTCATAATGAGGTCATGTTTTGGAAAGAATGGGGATGGAAAAGCCAATTGTAACAAGAAAGAACTTTTTTAAAAAAATGTATTAATTTTTGAGAAGGAGAGCAAGAGTGCATGAGTGAGGGAGAGTTAGAGAGAGGGAATCCCAAGCAGGCTCCACGTTGTCGGTAGTCTGATGTGGGGCTTGAACTCATAAACCGTGAGATCATGACCTGAGCTGAAATCAAGAGTCAAATGCTTAACTGACTGAGTCACTCAAATTCCCCAAGAAGAAAGAACTTTTACATGTTTTTATGTTTACTGAAATATTTAAAAATATGCTATAGTTATATTTAATTTTTTCCAGTGTTTGATATTTTAAATTTCTACTAGATTGTGTGATGCCTTCCACATTTCAATCAGTTAGACATGGATTGTCAGATTTTGAAAACGGATTTGATACTTTTGGGATATTCTTACAATGTTTGTTTTATAATAGCAGCTTTTCACTCTTAACACCATTTAGCAACCACTAATAGTAAAATTTCTTGAGCCGTTAGCTTTAATAAATAGTAATTTTGAATGCTAGATACAATAATCTCAGATGAAAAGATTGAGTATGGTCTTTTGACATATATGCTTCACGCCCCTGTGTATTTGGTAATATTAAAGTGAATAGATTCTTGGCATTTACAGATTACCTACTCATGAGGCAGTGTAATGTTATGTTGAAGAGCATGCATTCTGGAGCCACAGTGCCTAAATTCATATCTTGTCTTTGCTACTTTATTACTTGTATGATCTTAAATAAGTTACTTAATTTTTCTGAATCTATGCTCTCATCTACAGAGAGAATTGAATAGTAGTTATTCACAGAGTTGTGAATTAAATTAATTGACCTATGTTAAGCACTTAAAATAATGCCAGGTGCACAATAAGTGTCACATAGATGTTTTATATCATTATTACTGTTAGGGCAAGGTTTCATAATATATAGTAATTTGTAGTTGCTGAAGCATGTGTTGAATTATAGGGCTACTAAGGTACGAGTGAGGCCACTGCTGGTGATACAGGTGAAAAGATCTAAAAAAAAAAATAGTGGACTGGCACATAATAGGAAATCAGTTGATATTTTTCATACAGATAATTGAATTAATAAATAATGAATGAAAGAAAACATAGAAATAAAAGTAGAAGGAGAAGAAACAAGTTTTGGTTGAATTTGGATAGTGGGATATCCTAAATACATAGAAACATTAAGGTAAAGAAATCATTTAAATACTCATTTCAATTGCAGTTGGCTAAATTAAATACTCATTTCAATTGCAGTTGGGGGAAAATATTTACTATAGGAATATTCTCAAGTTTGAATGGCTGTAGCCATATGAGGAAGATTCTCTCTTGAGAAAGGAAGTTATAACAGTAGACAGAATTGGCAAAAACAGCCATCTCCATGCTCTGGAAATTGATCAAAGGGATATGACAATCTGAAAAGTGTTTATGCTTGAAAAACAACCAAACTTTGGAAAAGAAAAGTGGGAAGTCTATGGCATTTTTGCCTGAGTACTCTCTTTTCCCTGCTGTCAGGTGGGAAGTTTCTTCCAGATTGAAGCAGGCCATGAGAGCCAACTCTGAGGTTGCATGTATGGGTACAGGAACAGGGAAGGATTCCAGTTGAAAGTAAAAACCAGGAGAGATTTGTAAGTGCTCTAAATATTTACCGTGTTCTCCTATACATCAGCAGAGAATGGAAGCTTTAGGGACTCAGGTGTTTGAATATAAACTCTTTTTAGTCACAGGTTGAATACTTAAGCTATGCAGACACAGGATGATCCCTAGGAAGTGGAGATCAAAAATAAAAACAAGAAAAGAATGAGCAGAGGTAGCAACAGCTGCTTGTTACAATGTGGTGGGAGAAGCAGATATACAGATCTAGTTGATACAGGTTAACAAAAAACAAACCAACTGCAATGATAATATGTCTTCTTGGGAACAAAGTCAGGTTCTAGCGTTGCTAAAATATATCATCCAAAATATCCCATTTTCGACAAATATGATATACCCAGAAACAAAAACGGTGACTCATATGCAAGGGAAAAAGCAGTCAATAGAAATTGACTCTGAATGTCCCTAGGTTGGATTTAACAGATTTCAAAGTGGTTATTATAAATATGTTCAAAGAACTAAGGGAAACCATTTTTAAAGAATTAAAGAAAAGTATGACAATAATGAATCAACAAATAGAAATTCTCAATGAGGAGATATAAATTAAATACATATATATATATAAAGACCCAAAATTCTCAAGTTGAAAAATACAGTAATTGAAGTGAAAAATCATTGAAGGGAGGGGAAAATTCATTAGAGCATCTCAATAGCAAATTTGAAATAGATGAAGGAAGAATCAATTATCTTGAAGATAGAATGATAGAAATAATCAAATCTGAAAAAAAGATGCCCCGAAATTTGAAGAAAAATGAACAGGCCTACACAAACAATATCAGATATACCAGGGAATCCCAGAATGAGAGGAAAGAGAGAAAGGGGAAGCAAAAGTATTTGGAAATGTAATGGCTAAAAACATCCCAAATTTGATGAAAAACATTGTTATGCATCCAAGAAGCTCAGTGGACTTTAATTAGGAGGATATACCTAGTCAAATTGTTGAAAGACAAAAAGAGGAAAACCTTGAAAGCAGAGAATGAGAAAGCACTCACTGTATACAAGGAAACATTAATGTCTGACTTCTCATTAAAAATAGTGGAAGACAATATATACTTTCAGTTATAAAATAAGTCATGGAGTTGACAAACGGTGACCACACTTACTGTGATGAGCATTGAGTAAAGTAATTGAAATTACTGAAGCAACATGTTGCACACTTGAAATTAACATAGCATTGTATGTCAGTTATACCTCAATAATAATAATACCAATACCAATGGAAGACAGAAAACAGTGAAATGGCATATGCAACGTGCTGAAAGGAAGTAACTATCACCTGAGAATTCTCTATCCAGCAAAATCATCCTTCAGAAATAAAGATGAAGTAAAGAAATTCCCAAATAAAGGACTAAGAGAATTCATTGCTAGACTTGCCTTAGCTGAAAGGAAATCACACCACATAGTAACTTGAATCTGTAGAGGAAATGAAGAGCACGGGAATAGTAAAATATGAGTCACTGAAAAAGACTAGTTTTTCCTCATTTTTTCTTTCAACCTCTTTTAAAAGATATAAGATTGTATGAAACAATAATTATAACACTGTGCTGTTCAGTTTATAACATACAGAAGTAATATATTACATATATGACAATAATAGACAAAGGGCAGAAGAAATGGAGCTATAATGGAGCAAAGTATCTACATTTCACCTTCATTAAGTTAGTATTAATCTGAAGTCAATTGTGATAAACTAAAATACATACTGTAATCCTTCCAGCAACCACTAAAAATATATATAGTGAAAGAAAATTGAGGAACTGAAATAGTACAATAAAAAGTATTGATACAGAAGGCAGCTATAAAAGAGGAACAAAAAAGACAGTAGATGTATAGAACAAGTAGAAAAACTGCAAATTTAAACCTACCACACCAATAATTACAATTCAGTAAATGTCTAAACATGCCAAACAAAAGGCAGAGATTATTAAACTGGATTTAAAGAAGTAAAATTCAATTATCCTCTGTGTAAGAGAGACACACCTTAAAATTGAAGACGCAAATAGGTTAAAAGAAAAAGAATGGAAGAGATAAATCATGCAAATGGTAACCATGAGAGAGCTGAAATGGCTATATTGAATACCACACAACTAGCTATGAAGATAAGAGACTTACCAGAGACTAAGACATTTTTCATAGTGATAAAAGGGTCAGTACATAGAAAGAACAGTAGATGCATATGCACTAACAGCTTCTATACATATGAAGCAAAATCTGACTGAACTGGAGGGTAAATAGGCAATTCAGTAATAATAAAAGGAGGTTTCAATACCCCATTCTAGGTAAATGAGAAAATCAGGAAGGATCTTCAGAAGACTTCAATAACATTATCAAACATCTCTGACATATATAGAACAATGATTGCAGAATGCATTCTTAGCACATGTACATGAAACATTCTCCAAGATAGAGCATATGCTGTGCCACAAAACAAGCTTCAATATTTAAAAGGATTTAAGTCATACGACATGCTCTGATCGTAACAATTTAATTAGAAATCAGAGAGAGAGCTGGTGAGTCCACAAATATTTGGAAATTAAACATACTTGTAAATAACCTATGAGTCAAAGAAGAAGTCTCCATAGAAGCTAGAAAATGTTTTTAATGAATCAAAACCGAAAATGTCAAAATTTATCAGATCCAGCTAAATCAGTTCTTAAAGAAAATGTATGGCTTAAAAACTATATCCCAAAAGAAGAAAGGTCTCAAATGAAAATCTCACCTTGCACCTTAGCAAACTAGAAAATTATTGTGTTCTTAGAGCAAAGATAAGTATATAGATCAATGAATGGAACTGAGAGTCCAGAAAAAAAACCCTTATGTTTATGGTCAACTGATTTTCAATAAAGGTGCCAAAGGAATTTGATGGTAAAAAATAGTCTTTTAAACCAATATTGCTGGGAAAGTCAAGTCACACACTAAAACTAAAATGGACTAAGACCTTACTTTATACCATATGTAAAAATTAACTCAAAATAGCTCATAGACTTATAGATGGGAGCTGAAACTAAAAATAGTAGAAGAAACCATAGGAGAAAATCTTGATGATCTTGGATTAGGCAAAGAGTTATTAGGTATGACACCAAAAACATCCGTAGAAGAAAAAAATTGGTAATGTGGGCTTCATTAAAATTAAAAACTTTTATACTTTAAAAGGTATCAGTAAGAAAATGAAAAGGCAATCACAGAATGAGAGAAAATATTTCAAATCATGTAACTGATGAGGACTTGTATTAAGAATACATAAAGAACTCCTAGTGGTGCCTGTCTGGCTAGGTCAGTAGAACATGAGACTCTTGATCTTGAGGTTGTAAGTTTGAGCCCCACGTTGGGCCTAGAGATTACTTAAAATAAAATCTTAAAAAAAATAAGTATAAATGGGCAAATATTCACCAAGGAAGCTGGATGAATGGCTCAGAAGGCCATCCAACGATGCTCACCATCATTACTCACTAGGGAATACAAATTAAAATTATAATAAGATGCCAATAATACCCACTAAAAGGTCTGTAATCAAAAGATAGTATCAAGTGTTGGTGAGGATGTGGAGAAACTGGAACTCTCATATTGCTGGTGGGAATGTGAAATGGCACAGCTACTTTAGAAAGGTTTGACAGTTCTTAAAAAGCAAAACAAATTTCCAACGTGACCCAGCAATTCCACTCCTAGGAATGTCCTTGAGAGAAATGACATGTTTACACAAAGATGTATATGTGAATGTTAATAGCAACACCATTCATTATAGCCTCAGCCTGGAAAGGCTACATGTCCATTAACTGGTGAGTAGATTAACAAAATATGTTCTATCCAAACAATGGAACGCTATTCAGAAATAAAAGGGAACAGGCTGTGGATACCTGCTACAACTTGGATGAATCTAAAAAAGATTATGCTAAGTGAAAGAAGGTGACTGCAAAAGGCAACATATTTTTTGAGTCCATTTATAAGAAAACTTCAGAAAGGTCACATTTATAGAGACAGCAGATCAGTGTTTGCCTAGGGCTGGGGACGGAAGTGAGGATTAATGCAGACGTCATGAGGAAACTTTTTACAGTGTTCACAGAGTTCTAAAACTGGATTGTGTGATGGTTGCACAACCTTTTTACATTTACTAAGTAAGAATCATTGAATTGCACACTTAAAACAGATGAATGTTATGCTATATAAGTAATCTCTTGGTAAAGGTTCTAAAACAAAATTTGAGGATGCATGAATGTCTCACGACACATTCTTTCAGCATGTCCGTGAAAGGAGTAACTGGATCTCTCAGATTTTGGCGCAATATTTAATTAATATCACAATGTGCTTTGGAATAGGAAATTGATAGATATTACCTGACCTATTATATGATATGAGCTTGAGAGAAACAAAGTGAGTTACTCAAGGTCATGTTAAAAGTCAGTTGAAAGCTGCAGATATCCTCTACCACCCCACAGCCACATTGATGGTAGACATAGCTCCCTTTCAAGGAAATCTCGTCACTTGGCTATTCATCAAGTCCATTTGTCACTGGAAGTGAATTGAACAGTTCTTTCCTTTCATATACTTTTGTTTTCCTTTGATTCACCAGTTGGATTCCTATTACTCACTGAGTCCTTCTTTTTTAGCTCTTGCAGTTCAACCCTGTGGAGCGTCTTGGTGCTGGAGTTGCTGGTGTTGAAGATATCAAATCTCATCCGTTTTTTACCCCTGTGGATTGGGCAGAACTGATGAGATGAACAGAATGCGGGGTTATCTGTGCACATTCTGATCTTCTCTGTGACAGGCATCTCCAGCACAGAGGCAGCTCTGCCTCACAGTCATTTACGGAGCACCAAGACATTGGGATAAAGACCTCTAGAGGAAACGGGGGAAGAAAAAGGCTGAAAGAGAACAGTTCCTTTACTGTGACTCTCTGGACAAGATATTGGCTGCATTTGCAGGGGGCTTTTATGTGCAAACCTTTAACAAAGGTTTGAGCTCTATTTTATCTGCAGTTAATGTTGCAGATTGATTGTAAACCCAACTGAAAGAAGAATACCCTTCAAGAACTTCCTCTGAAAGCTCCAAGTGTACATTTAAGTGTTACTTGAAAGGAGGACCTTTACATGGCAGCTAATAGTGCTTTCTGCTAAGCAAGTTTGGTTTGTATGATCGTAATTCATATTTGCTGAATAATACACTAAAAGTGCTTCATGAATAGTGTCATCCATGGAGCTTAAAAAGTGAGGAAACAAGAATTTATACATCATGTCTGATAGAAAACACGCACCATGATGCTATATAATTAACATGTGCTAAATGTGGTCCCATACTATTTCTACTTTCCGAAGTCTACATGAGAAGAAAACTCATGCTGTCGACTTTATACGTGGTTGGTTGGTACTGCTTACGGAAGGGTTCATATAAACACTCACTGTCTTCTCAACTTTATCTTTCTGCTCCCTACACTCTTTGCCTATTCTCTCATAATCTCTTCCCTTTTCCTCTACTAGTATATATGCAACAAAAAGGGAAGGGAGTATTTATTTCTCCAAATTGTATCCACTTAATAAGGACAAAAAAATCATGGTTATAAAATAAACGTGGTAAAAATTGAAATCTCTCCTTTATTTAATTGCTTAAATTTTTTGTTTTGCTTTGTTTTAGAAGGGCTCACATTTTGGAATGTTAGCAATTTCTGCGGCTGCTTATGCTTGACTTCTTTTTAGGTTTTTGGTTTGGTACACTAAGAACCAAAGTATCTAAATGGAATTGAATGGCAATCCTATTTTATTACTTAGTGATGAGATTTCCAGATTTGACCTCCTAATCTACCTGACATGTGGAAAGACTAGGAGTATTTATACATCTACAAACATTTGTATTTGTTATTTCTTTATGTTGCTAAGATGGCTCCTGCATTTATCTGTGCCTTGTTTATAATAATTTACAAATGTTTAAAAGGCATTAATGTCCCGTTTTTAAACTTTATCCAAAGATGAAAGAACAAATTACTTTTTTTCGGAGTGAGGGGCCATCAGAAATGAAAATTTTCCATATTTTTAATCCTCTGAGGTTTTGAGAGCGAGAATCGATTCCTGCTCGAAGAGCATCTATATAGCTTCCATTTGCCATCAGCTAGGTCGTCCCATCAAAATAAATGGAAGCAGAAAATGCTTTAGTGAAACAAAGGAAATGTGCAAGCATTTTTTCTTTTTCTATTTTCCTACTTCCCCTTTTTCCTTCTGGTTCCCTATACCGTGAACCTCAGACGAAGGACTGCAACAACACCAGGATGGGGAGCGGGTCACCAGGATCAAAGCGCAGTCAAGATGACATCACTCCCTGGAACTGAATTTCGACTCACCAACCCCCTGGCCTCATAACAGGAACTCATGCAGGTGAGACTAAAGAAGGACTTCCTGTGTAGGACTGGTAGGAAATCTGCAAGTACTTAGAGCTGGCCACTGCAAAGCTTCCTTCCAGAAGTGCCCTGTGACAGGAAAGTAGGACCTCACAACTAAGGGGAAGCTCCCAGCCCTGCTACATGACTTTGGTTCTTTGGATTCAGGACGGTAATGTCAACAGATGGTTGCTGTGTCAGTGTGTTGACACAGCTCCATTGCTTCAGCTCCCTCTTTCTCTCTGTAGATTTGATTGGAACTTGTGCTTGATGCAGGTATATCATTCTTAATCATGGTGGACATGAATTATTATAGTAATAAACACATAGGATATGGCTTAGGGTGATAAACCCAAGTCTTTTACTTGATAATGTGTAAGTATATTAAAATATTAGTACTTTTTAATGCTGTGGGTGATACTGCTTTTTTGGTTTTTTAAGTTATTATTATTATTATTATTATTTTTAATGTTTATTTTTGAGAGACAGAGTGTGAGCAGGGGAGGGGCAGAGAGAGCAAGGAGACACAGAATCCGAAGCAGGCTCCAGGCTTTGAGCTGTCAGCACAGAGTCCAGTGCGGGGCTTGAACTCAGGAACCCTGAGATCATGACCTGAACTGAGGTTGGTCACTTAACCAGCCAAGCCACCCAGGTGCCCCTGTTGTTTTTTATTTTTTATTTTTATTTTTTTGAGCATATGTCCTGTGGGTTAAAACATGGAAGAATATTATGTATTTTTCATTTGATTTTTTATTGTAGGAAAACATACATAATACAAAATTGACTATTTTAACTACTTTTAAGTATACAATTTAGGCGTAGTCAGTACATTCTCCTTTTTATCCAGCCATCACCACCTTATATCTCAGAACTTTTTAATTATCCCAAACTAACTCCACACCCGTTGAACAATAACTCCCCCTTCCCCTTCCTCTCACCACCTAGTAACCGCTGTTCTCCTTTCTGTCTCTATTAATTTGACTCTTCGAGGTCTCTCATAGAGAGAGGTGGAATCCTGTAGCCTTCATTCATCCTTTTGTGTCTGGCTTATTTCACTTATCATAATGTTTTCAGGGCTCATTCATACTGTAGCATATTTCAGAATTTCATTCCTTTGTAAGGCTGAATAATATTCCACTGTATGGATAGACCACATTTTGTTTAGCTATTCATCTGTCAGTTGGTGTTCCCACCTTTTAGCTATTGTAAACAGTCTCATTATGAACATTGATATATAGACATCTGTTCAAGTCACTACTTTCATTTGATTTTATATTTTTATATGAAATTACCAGCGTCATTATTTTATGATGCTTTTTATAAGCAGATTGTTAATAAGTGCTATATAATGCCACCATCTTAAAATAGGGTATGAAAGTCTCCCATTTCTATTTCACAGAAATGGAGTTAAGCTCCCAAAAAGTAAAAAAGAATGCCATCATTTTAGCAGTTTAACTATGACATGAGTTAAAACTTTTTGAGACGTAGTACTTTTCAACTTATTTGTTATAACTGAACTCTTGGTAACATATTTAAACCTGCCTTTTAAACATTTATTTGTTTGTTTTTAGAAAGAGAGCATGAGAGGGGGAGGGTGGGCAGAAGGAAAGAGAGAGAAAATCTTAAGCTGAGCACTGGAGCCTGTCATGGGTCTCAATCCCATGCACTACCCTGGGATCATGACCTGAACCAAAATCCAGAGTGAGATGCTCAACCGACTGAACCACCCAGGTGCACCCTTTTAAACATTTTAAAACAGCTACAGTTCCTGTTGTGTTTTGACCATCAGGTTTTTTTCTCTCCTCTCATTTCAGTAGTTGTGAACCATGATCGAGTTTTGCTTTCATATAATGCATGTATTGAAGAATATAAAATGATAAATCATACTTACACTATGGCCAGAAACACTATATTAGGACTTCATACATAGAATGCCTTCATTGAATTCAGTTGCCCATATTTATGAATCCAAGCAGAAAGAAATCTGAGTGTATTTGTGAAAGGCTCTTGGCTTTGCAAGGGGCCCCTTGTAGCATCTTTATTGGACTCACTTAGAGAATGCTTTATAGCAGAAGCCAAGGCGTAAGCTGGATCATTTTTCTTCTTAAGAGTAATTGACTTAACCTTTGGGCTAGCTAAAGCTCTGGATAATGAAGCCTGGTATTTCAAGCTCTTTCTTTGAGGATCGTGGAAAATAATAGAAAGCCTTAAGAGTGATGTCCTGGTCCGATCTCTGTGACTAACTAGCAGTTTACCTTAATCAAAGAACAGTATTCTAGAGCTATTCCTCCACTTACATAAGGAAGAGGTAGATGAGTTCTCAGCTCCACAGCATGGGGACTTTCTGTTTTCCGGAGTGAGCTAATTTGATAAACTAACATTGGAGAAAGACAAGGTTAGTGCAGATCTTAAATTGGTACTTAACTGTTTTCTTATAATTTTGTTTTCTAGTAAATACCACATACTTGGGTTGCTGCCGTCTACCCTTTCAGGGGCATAGCCCTTAGTGGTCATGTGGCTATAAAAATTATAAATAGAATGCAGCATTAAAAGGTTATTTCTCAGTGAGCTCTACACTGAAAAGGAGAGTTGAAGGTCCAGATAGAAGTACCGAGAGGCGAAAGGAGGTTCGGACACACCTACATTTGCTCACTTCTTAGACCTTTCTCAACAGCTGTGGTGGTATTTCTCCCCCTGTTGCCCTCATCCATCATCTGCTGTGTGTTTATTTGACTCAGTTCTTTGGCAGGCATAATCAGAGAACAAAATTGATACTTTCTCTTCCTATTTAATGCAGAACATTAACCTCTACCAGTCTAGGTAATTTGGACTTTTGAGTATTTGATGTCTACTTAGCTCATTTTAAGGACTTCATATTAAGTCCTTATGTTGAAGGGTTACTAAATGGCAAAAGCTGTGAAGTCAGCGCTTTCTAAATAAAGTTGTCAACGTAAGAGCAGTAGGGGAATGGGAAGCAAAGTACTACAGGTTTTTGTGCCTCGGGATTACTTATTTTTTCAAGGACAGTAAATAGGAAATGGGAGAACAAGCTTCCTCTTTGGGGAGATTTATAGTAGTGGGGATGTAGAGTCAGATGGTATGGCTTTGCATTGGTTGGCCCTATCCCATGACTTCTTCCCTTGATCCAGGCAGCTCACCTCAGGGAGGAAGAGAGGCAGAGAAGATTTGAGGAAGTGTAAGAGAGAAAGTAACTTGAGTGAGGTGGTCTAGGGAAACGAACGAGAGCACTTGTCAGCCTGCTGGCCCCCGGGTCTGGGGCACTGGAGAGCCGGCTTTATTGAGCTAGATTTAAAGGGCAATCCTTTGTTCTTCTCCCAGGAAGAGGTAGGTAGAGACTGAAACTATTCCTGCTATTCCAGGAAAAGAGATAGTGAACTGTCTTTTTGGAAAAGATTAAGTGACAAGCTTATCCGAGTCTGTTCTATCTCCATCTCCTTGCTGAAGACAGCTGGTATGGCTGGTAGTAAAGGAAGAGGCCATGAGTGTCTTCACAAAGAGTTACTATGATTTCTTTTGGGCAGAAATACCTCTTGCTGAATGCTGTGAGAAAGAATGACAAATGAAGCAGCTTTTGGTCGCACTTAGAGTTGCTGGTATCCTGTTTTTGTAAATCCCAAAGAAGTTTCAGATCAAAAAGATACCTCTTCTAGTCATATTGATCAAATTCCTCCTAAAGCTAATCCACAAGGCAGGAGTTTGACCAGCCTCACCAAAAAAGGCAAATGTCAAAGGGGATTTGGCAAATGTAAAGGGGTTCAAATCTGTTTCAGCGATAATGGTATAGTGCGGTGTTGCCTTTTTCACGTGGGAGATATACGTAAAATTGGCTCAAGTGACAGGTACAGAATGAGGAGAGAAGGAGGTGCAGTGTTGGCAAAACAAAAGAAAACCCATGCAACTATTCAGTCTCTCAGGATTGTTCTGGAAAGAAAATGTGTTAAATATTTGAAGAATCTGTCTTCAGCAAAAAGATTCTGAATGACTGCGAAAACTTTAAAACTTGAGTTTTCCTCCGTTACCATGCTCGCCTACTGTTTTCTCGTTTCTTCTTTTTTCTCTCTTCATCTCCTCTTCATCTACCCTTCTTCCCTGTTATGGACTTCTCTGGTCACTGAACAAAAGAAATGGTGCCTGTCTTCAAGGACCTTGTAGAACCCAGGGGAAAGAAAGCATAAATAATAAGTAGGGCAGAATGTTGTCAGTGTTATAAGGTACAAATAGAGGTGCAGTGAGCACACAAAGGAGAGATCTGAGGAACTGCAGGAAAGCTTCTTGTATTGGAGCAGTAGCCTGAAGTTTGAATAGCATTTTTAAACATACGGACTTTTTTTTTTTTTAAAGCTTTTGTTTGGGGAGAAGGAAAAATTCCAGAGGAACAACAACAACAACAACAAAACCCAAAAACAAAAACAAAAACAACCCAATTGTGTGCAAAAAAACCACGGGGATGGGGAAATGTAAAGCTGTGCATATTGTTTTGGCTGGTTTATAGATAACATGAATTTGAAAGGTAAGTTGGGGCCAGATTAAATGCCTTGCTGGGACGTTTGGATTTCATTCTCTAGGTTGTAGGGAACTAGTGAAAGTTCTTAGTTGACATTATTGCAGCCTGCTGTTGAAAAGAGAATTTTAGGGTTAGAGTGGAGAATAAATTGGAGGGAGCACAGTTAGAGGCAGAGAGATCAGTTCGGAGTTACTGCAGAAATTCAGGCAAGAGATAAAGTCCTGAATTAAGGTGGTAGAAAACAAAGGAGGGTGTACATAAGCCTCCTCCTGTCCATGTCTCTTGTGTACAGAGTAGAGTTTCCCTATCAAATAATTGCTTTTCTTGTTTCTTGAAGCCAGTTTATACTAGGAGATTATGGATTTGTTGTTTTTAAAATCACCCCCAAGGAATCTCCAGAGAGACAAACCATTGGTTGATAATGGTAATGATATTGACTGTTCAGAGCTTAAAACCTCCCAGGTCCCAACTCCTTTTCTTTTTATCATTTTGTGGCACTCCTTCCCACCCTTTGCTTTTAAATAGTTGGTTTGCTTTCTAAGTGGATAGTCCTCCATTCTTGCTCTTAGAAGGCGTTACATCCCGCCAGGTGATTGCTCTCTGTCCCAGACCTCTGACACACATTTAGCTTAGATCGGTGGTTCTCAAACAGTGGCTCCAATCTGGGTCAAGGGAATAGGGTGATTTTTACTGTTCTTGCAACTTTTCTTTAAGTTTGAAATGGTTGCCAAATACAGGCGTTTCAACAAAATGAAAGAAAAAGTAATCCTCAGATCATCAACATTAGCATCACCTGGGAACTTGTTAGAAAT